GGCTCAAACAACCACCTATTTGACCAGTGAAAACATCGAATTAATGGGTCCACCGTACAGTCCTGATTTGGCACCCAATGACTTCTGTTTGTTTCCGAACATCAAGAATAAACTGCGTAGTCAACGATTTTCGACGCCAGAAGAAGCGGTTGATGCGTTTAAAACATGTTTTGGAGGTTCCACTTTCGGAGTGGCATGGATGCTATAATAAATGGTTTAAGCGAATGTAGAAGTGTATTGATCATCATGGAGAATATTTTGAAAAACAATAAAGACATTTTCAATGACAAATTACCGTGTTTTCCTTACTAGTCGCAAAACTTACGGAGCAGCCTTCGTATATCAATTGATTCTTTAGGTGTTATGTGGCATGCAATGACTTGTTTCCATGGATTTTTTACTCCTCGAAGTAAAACTAAAAATATTTTTGTACCAAGAACATCGCTAATCCCTCCTAAAGTAACAAATCCTTGGAATTTACCATTGCTTTTATCATAATCGATTTGTCCACAAATTATCATTTCGTCATACGATAACAAACAATATCTATCGGTTAGATCCATTATTTCTACTTTGAATCTAAGAAGCTATAAAACATCCTCAAATATTCCGAAATTTAATTTCAAACTTTGCATTCGCCGCATGATAGTACTATAAGCAGACAGTGGATAACCAGTACTACGAAGATAATTATAACCATTGACTGATAGAGCAAACCTAAATTTGAGACTTTTAATAATATCTTTGTTTGACCAATGTGCTAATCGCCCCTGTCGCAGCATCTCAATTTGATCATCGTTTAAAAATGTTCGCAGCATGGCGTGTAAATCATCTACCTGTTGACCCAATGCTTGGTTTTCGTGTTCTGCATATTTCTTGCCTGCTGTTAATGCAGTTTTCAACTGCTCTTGCAATTGCTCGTACTATCATTGTGTACTTATCAACAATCTGTAAAATAATAAAAAGCATGAAAGTCTAAATATGTTATTAGCATTATTATATAATTTATTTTGAAACCTTTGCTCACTTTTTATTAATTTATGTATTACATTTACAGATGTGACCACTCTTACAATTAGCCTGTCAAATTTAAATAATGCTATATTATAATAAAGCATTATTTAAATCTGACAAGCAAAAAGTAAATGCGTCTGTAAATGTAATAATAAATAAATTAATAAAAAAGTAAATATATAAATATAGAATTTTTTCATCTTACTATAATGTATCACAGAAACTTACATCTTTCTCAGTGGC